GTGATGCAATAAGATTTTGCTAAGAAAGTGCACCTCGCAGAAGACTGGAATGACGCTTTGGCACGTCGTCTGCTGAAGTGAACGTGGCAATCGTTTCTCGGAATGCTTCGTCTGCCCATCATCAGGAAGTCAAGAGGCATCTTTGCCATTTATGACGGGATCGTGGAAGACCCCGCTTTCTGTCAAGTTCCGAGTTCTGACTGCATGTCCAATTCGTGGCAGACTTTCCACCGATATCAGTATCGACTACAATATCTGCTGAAGTTTGAGGTGGAAGACCTAATCCTTCTCCCGAGTCCTGAAAAATCTAGAAAGCCAGAGGACATCGATGCAAAAATAGGGGTTGCTTTGGTTTACCTCTGGGTAATTACATATTCCAATCATCGCGCTCACAAGAAAATCTCGTGTTTTTCCAGGCGATAAAACCTCACTACTCTCGTCCAAATTGTAGCGATGGAGTTGAACTTCCTTCAGTTTGAGATGAGATTAGTGAAGTTGTAGTCCCTGTGATGCCACGAATCAAGATGGAATTCGTGGAAATGTATCAATGAATTCCATCTCGATTCGTAGCATCACACACAGAAGTAGGTTGGATTCCTAAAAGGGTTATCATAATGTATCTCACAGAACAATCTCCAAGTACGAGGACATGTACAGTCTATCCTGCATAAGCCACTGCACATTCCCACTTCGTTTTAAGTTGTTCAATATAACCATTGATAAATTAGTCGTCTGGATTCAGATCATCTCAGGATATCACAGACGATCACAGGGAAATTATTCTGCGCCTCCAAAAAGTTGCTTGCTCATTGTTCCAAGACGATGCACGCACGGCCGAATAAATGGGACAGGCACTACTAACGGAGATCGACAGCGAGAGCCTACGTTTACTTTTCTTTTCACTTAAAAATCATACTTTCAAGAATTTCTTCCGCTTCGAAAGAGGGAAGAATGAGCTCTCCGCAGTCGATTTGTACCAATGAGCACGAAAAATAGGATATGATCCTCGCACTTTTCATAAGAGACATCTAGTGGCGGTTGGGCGAAAATCGGAACGGAGCGAACCAAATCCACTTTCCTTCCTGTCATACAGTCGGATGCTTGAGCTCATGGTTGGACCCGAGTCCTCACACTATTGCTTGTGTTACTTGACAAAGGAGTTAGTATTCGGAAATTATAACCAATCGCAACCAATCAAAATAATGGGCAAGGTTCATTAAATTAAATAAAATTTAATATATTTATTCGATGGCTCTCCATGGTTCATACTTCCACGTCGCGAGGATGGACCCCAGTCATTTGAAAGGCCGCAATATATCAGGTCCTACCATGCACGAAAGCTTCTGGATTTAAGTCAAACCAAAACATGCATGACGAGTTCGGCTCAGAAGTTTCACACTGTCATCGACCAGGATTATCAGGACCACGATAGTGATAGTGCTCCCTGGGAGACCTTTGATAAGTTGACTATCGGGGCCGGGCAGTCCGATGTCTTTGGGAACGTTGGACCCATTCGAGCTGTAGCCAGGCTTATCGTCTGCCACTGGCTATAGCATACTTTCGGCACTAAAGCTTCAGACCAGGCTAGGTGCAAAACAAAAAGTAAAATGAGACAAGCAACGGTCTTAGGACTTTGGGACTTGGAACGTCCTGATACTAGGCGGAAAGGAGCCAGAACTCGTGGAAGAGACTAGTAAGCGATAGATATACTCAGCATTGTACCAACTAGGAGGAAAGACACCGGTTCCATTGTCCAAGATCTAGGATGGACCCTCTAATGGAGAGTAGATCCAACTAGTCCTATATCTGTTCAGGAGGGAGCGGAGATGCACATTAGCTGACCGAGTGATCGAATGGAAGTCCATCAGCGAACGACCTCAGACAAGCGAGTTGGGGTCTTGAATGGCATTCAGGGCTACTCCCACGAGCGATTAGTCATCCTTAGGACATCTACAGGGCGTTTTTGTCATGGGGACGTCCATTGAATATTTTCAAAGGCTCTTTGCTACGTGGGGTCGAACGGCGCGTCGGAGAACGATGCGTTCCTCGAAAAGGTGGATGGGGCCCTACAAAGGATCTCAAAACAACGATCTCGTTTGGCGTGGTCCTGCGGTTTTTTTCGCAGCTCCCAAGACAACATCCTGACGTCCTTATATTCTGCCATCGTATGAACTGGGGATGTACTAGAGAAAGGAATAAAATTACTTTGGCAAAACTCCTTCTTTTAAGAGTCCTAAGCTTCCGGGGGGAGAATTGAGAAGTTTAAAAGGGAACTTCCTGTCACCAGAAGGAGCAGGTAAATATAAGAGAACTGAGTCTTCTATGAAAGCCACGTCACGACACCAAACTGCAGGGTTTCAAATGACTCGAAGCTTTCGCCTTCGCTAATAGGTTGCTAGGAGACGTTCGTGATTTGAAAAGACCCTATTCCTTTGTGCACAACGGTGAAGGAAAGGTGGGTGGTGATTGACCATTGAACGATGACAAGCGACGAAAAGAAGTATGCCCACGGCGTGAGATATGAAAGAAGCGTCAGGATGGCATACGTTGGGAAGGAAATTCGGGGCAATCCTTTCTTCCTCAAACAAGGAAGACTTTGATTCTCCACCATCACTTTCTCCGAGGAGAACGGATAGAAAGACCTTGGCCTGAACGTGACAGACAAGTCTAAAGAATGTAGATATAGTCCCTCTCTAAGTCTGCATAATTTGGGCAAGTTTACATTTCGAACAAGGAGTTTGCAATTCGACGCCTTTCTCTCTCACTTTTCCCGTTTCGGTCCGGGTCACAACCTCTATTTTCGCCTATTGCTAAAACCTTATTCCCATGGCCCGTTTCCTTTCCCACGCCGGAATAAGACTGGTTCTCCCTCTCCAGTTCGCAGGGAAATCTGATGCTCTCTGTCTTCCATCAACAGTTCTACGTAGATGTCACACACACTGCACCTCCAAGACTCGACTAAGACAATTCATGCCGTATTCAAGTAACGAGATTCAAAGGACAGCCGAATTTCAGGATGAGCCGACTGCGGTTAAACTCGAGTCGAGCGCAGTTAAACCAGTGGCCGAAGTGCTCACTTTTGACTAAAGAATTGAGGGACTGCAAAGAAGACAATATTATCGGCAAAAAAATTTTTTTTCACGCTTCCAAAGAGCGAAGATTCTAGGGAATGTCCTCTTAAAAAGGAGAAGTGGTATACGTAGATGAATCATTTTTCCACAAACAAAAATCCAAAAAACTTCTACCTTCAGTCAAAGGGATAAGGGTCAATATACGTTGGGTCAGTTTCTAAGCTTTTTTTTCAATTACCCGGTTTTCTTCCCAGCCCCTAAGTTCTGAATTGAGCAACGGATGAATCTATCGTTCGGAAGTGTCCCATCTATAATTAACAAAATGAACTTGACTGTAGAATACATCACGGAAGAAAAAGTAATGTCATCAGTTTAGACCAGTGATGCACAACCCGCGGCCCGCAGAGACCCTTTTTGCGGCCCCTTGGATGCCTCCGATCTCTAAAGATCCATATTTATATGAGGCCTATTTATGCTCATGTTCGAGGGTCTGCGGCCCTCCATCCCCTCAAACATGAGCCGAAATCTAAATTTTGGCCCTCTACGGGGAAAAGGTTGTGCATCGCTGGTTTGAACCTTCGAGAGTTCGAAAAATCAGGCACAAGACTAATGACTCGAATTATTGTAAATTTTCAAAAACAGGACTCTTCAATATTCACTTTGGTGAATGTCAGCGATATTTTGTGCTGCCACCTTTAACTCCTCAAGACAAATATCCATACGGTGAACCTGGATCTCAGGGGCAAATATCACATTTTGATTTTTAAACACGCGTTACTATTTAGGTAATAGCTCAAATTTTCTACACTTTTAGATTCAAGGAGTTGGAATAGAGAATAGTGTAAGTCGAAGTTGATTGCTCATACTCTTCGGGTGGTGAAGTGTTCAAAATCCTTTACAAATCTAATTCCCAAAAGTATTTTCCGACGAAACGAAATATTTCGTTTTTAAATAAACACTGATGACCTCTTCCAAGTGTGAATTTTGTAGTATGATGCGAACAGTTGAAGTGTCAGGAAATGCTCCAAACAATTTTAAACATAAAACACAGGTAGTGCCTCAATGACCCCAATGAATAGATGGCACTGAGGCCATTGTAGCTACCATGTAGGGGGTCATTGTGGCGAGTGCTTCTCAACTAATTCTACGGTGTTTCTGACTTTCCAGGAATGCATAGGGTGCCCCAAGCAATTTGCCACTAAGTAAAGGCAATTTATGAAGCATGAAATATGAACGAAATTCTTCATTTGACTGTAGAAAAATGAAAGCTAATATGTATTATAGGGTTCAAAATTCATGGGAGTCCAAGAGGTGGAGGTTCTTGTGATGCCTAGGTATCAAAGCCATGTCTTGGAGGCTCAGAGGCAAATTTCAAAAACCTTGTATTGTATGTCATTTTCTATATCTGCTATACATCCTCTATGCACTTTGACAACTGCCCGAATATAAAATGTTACCCACACAAAACCTGCTAACATTGTGGCAAAGTTGTTCTGGGTTCTAGGACTTTTTGGAAGGAGGAAGACACTTCAAGAAGCAACAATAAAAATACTTTGCAAGGACTGCTATCTAATAAAATCATCACCACAGACACTCTGAATAATGCATATTTCCAACTTCACTTCTTGTGTTTTGATGTGAAAATCAAATTGAATGGTAGACACATTCACCACTGCATACTACACAAATTGTTACTGTTCTGTCATTCTGTTATGTGAGGTAATGTGTTTCCCTCCACACTTTCAGCACAATTTCAGCACAAAATAAGGAGAGGAGATCTCCTCCAGTATGGCCCCTTGAACATACATAGCAAGTTGCTTATGGCAGTTCATGAGGATAGCTCGGTATATGACCACAATTTTTGGTCATAGGGCATGAAGAAACTGGTCAGAAAAAAAGGAAAAAGAGAATTCTTAGGACATAGGATGATGTGGTACAGATGAATGATATATTATTGGATCAGGACAGAATATCACACAAGCCTCACACGTTCAATGGCAACATATGACAATCCACTCTGTAAGTCCTGATAGCCAATAGGACCAGCCTCACAGTCTGCACAGGCAAGGTACTTCACATGGCCCACATTATTGGAAAACCCAAGATTCAAGAAATGATAAATGTTGTCCACTTGGAAGAACTCCTTCAATATATCACATTCTTGTGAAGGTGCTGCTTTTGAAGCTGTTATGCGAGGCAGACCACACTGAAAAGGACAAGCATCATTTCAATATATGCACATTTTGCAAGTCACTCGAAGCATGTAATGTCTGAAATGCTAGAACCACTATGTAGCAATCCCAAAATGTGCTGGTACCAGTACCAAATTATCCATAATTCCCTGTGGGCTGAATATATTAGTGGCCACTGCCACAAAGGCAGAGTCCATCACAAGAGCCAAGTTTTCATCATCCCTTTTATTTGACAGCTTGTCAACCTAAAGCATGCTGGCACAAAGGGAAGAGTCTATTATGTTTCATGGTCATAACAGATTGAAAGTCCTGGCTGAAATTCATAAAATTTTTGCAGATTCACATTAATAGAGCAAACTCTGAGTGAAATTGGTGGTTCCAAAAGCCATTCTTTATTGAAAAGTATGATCAAAAAAGGTAAACTAGAGCAATGTCACTGCGATTGAAGCATTATGCATGAGAAACTGCTATTGTTACTGGTAATAATTCCAGTTCCTCTTGGCTCCAGGGTGCTCCTCTAAGTCCTCTTTGGTCCATATAATGCATCCATCACCTTACCCATGCTTTCAGATCTTATTCTCATCATCATTTACACTCAGAAGAACATACAAACACTTCAGAGATGTGTAGGTCTAATCTTGTCTTCAGTGCATTTAAGCAGGCTCAAGATAGGAGACCTCTTGAATATGGATTTGTTTATCCTTCCCTCCATTTGGCAATATCTCCTCTCAGAGATGGACAACCAAAATTTGAGTCCTCTAGAAAGGTAGGGTTCTATCTCAGACCCAAGTGGTCATGCCATTGCCTTGCTTGGCTTTCCCAGTAAGATGCACTAAATGCAAATCAGGTCTTCAACAAAATAAATGCAACACTGGAACACCAGCATTGATTTCTTCCAGGAGAAGGTACCATCAAGCCTGTGCCAAAATTTATTGCTGCTATCTGCAGGATTGTTTATTACTCAAATGGGAAAAAATGCATGACTTTTGTAGGCTCGACAATGCTTCACTTGGTGGATTAAAATTGTCACTCTTTCGAAAACCTAGAGTTTAACACTCATTTCAACAACTAGAATCACAGTTGCAGGGTGGAAAAAAGGGGAAGGGGGGAGGAAGGTCAATGCAACCCCCTGCTGCATTGACTCATCCTACATCACTAATAGCAAATTATATACAATGCAGTTAGGCTATGAATAACATTCAGCCACACTTGAACAATCTCCAGGGCATGAGAGACACGAAACCCTAATTATCAATTTGTAATGAAGGCCTGTAAAAATATGTACACACCAATCCTGTCTAGGCATAGAATGGATAACACCTATGTATACATTATTATTAAAATGATTTGTCCTAAACCAACCATATCCTTTCTTTTCTTGGCTTTACAGAACTTTCAGTCAGACAAAACTGGCGCAAACCGAGCGGACAGTAACACAACTGTGCAGTGAACGATACGTTCCAGTATTAGGCATCTGTAGAAAACTGTCGTTAGGCCTGAGCTAGGTTATCACAGCTTTTACATGCATGACAGTCCACCTCATCCACCCGAAGATTTTTAAAAACAAAATAACCTTCACTTACTTCTTTTTCTATGAATTTCCCCATCTGAGGCTCCAAAATCTTGGAGGTGCAGAATTGGCACATAATAAGCTTGCTGTTCTTGCCATCTGAAGTTAAACTTGTTACATTTTCAGAGAGTTGTGCAGGACTATTTGATTCTCCCACAGGCACAGCTCCGTTGCACAAAGTCCCTACCCCTTCCTCCTCGTGAACTTCCTCATTCATTTTTTAAAGAAGTGGACAAGCAGCGTGGAAAGCAGTCACGGAACCACGCTTTTAATCGCCGCAACGTCTTATCACCTCGTTCTCTAACCACTCTTGATCGAGAGGAGGTACTACATCGTTACGTAGACGTACGCTAGATGCCGCAGCCGTACTACCATTCGCAAGCCTCACACTCTCACCACTTGTCGAGTCACGATTCAGCATGTGGTTATGAGTCACGACTGTATTCTGTTGACATCATACCCTCGTTGGTTATCTCCATGTAACGTACGAGCTGGTATCAAGGTGGCTACTACTCTTTACTGAAAAGAGTCATGGATTCATTTCGACGAATTTCCTTGGAATTCCAGCTCCGCGACCGCATAATTATTTTAAGTGCAGGTTCAAAAGTAAAAGGACCCCCATTTCCAACCCTTTTGACCAGTGCCGAACATCTGTTTACGACCCCCATCATCCCATAACATCCTGACACGTTCTTCGATTAATCGTTCCTAGGACTCGTTTTATTCATTAGGTGTCAACAAGTCAATTTTAGCTGCGATCAAAACAATATTTTTTCCGCTCTCGTCGGACAACGGAGTGGGAACAGAGTGGCAGACAAATAAACCGACAGGCGTGAAATTGGCCCCCTTTTCTTTTTTGAAGAGGAGGCAGCAGGCCCGCTAAAAACGAGCATAAGTGCCAACGCGTCCAGCCGGCTTTTATCCCAGGATGAGGGTGGATTCACCTCTGTCGTATCGGAAATTGCCTTCGCATTCGGAGCTCCCCTCGCCTGGACGAATGCACGCCATGTACTCATAGATGCAGGGAACGATGCAAAACGAAAAAGGTATGAATGATAAACGAAAAAGGGCTCATTGGTGAATTAACTGTACGAACAGGAAGATAAGACGCGTTTTGGTATGTGGTATTGGTATTTGGTCAATTGCGCGACAACATTGAGTCGATATTGCAAAAGTGTTGGAAGTTAATAATTGTTATGAGACTTAAGAAACATCGAATCAATCTTAAAATTTGACACATTGTCTCAATATTGACTCTAGACAGACTGAATCAATATTGACACCAGACAAATTGGTACTTGACATTAGACAGGTCTCATTATGACGGGGATCTTGAATTGAAGCTGTGCTTCAGGTGGGTACTCGATCCCCTGTCAACGTTACATCAACATGCCATCCTTAAGCTGATACGAGACAGGTCTCGATGTCGTTCGTACAGGGAATAAAAACAAATGGAGTGGAATGAGCAGTTTCCTCATGGTCAGAATCACCCAGTTTCGTTCGTTGGCCTGGGTTAAGGTGGATTTATACAGAGCAGAAAACGAGTGGCGGAAGTTCGTCAAACTTGAGAACGAAAATTCCCGCTTTCCGCCGTCGCTTTCGCCGGACGGAAGGCAATTTATACCGAGCGATCGCGTTTCTAGCAGGAGAGATACAACATGAATGTACTGGAAGGATACGAAAGGAAAACTATGCCTCTCGAAACATTGTAAACTAATTATCCGCAATAATAGGCATTTCAAATGAGGCAAGGAGGACAGAATGACTACAGTTACATTCTGCGAAGAGCTGCCTGAACTCACCCGAACATCCAAAACTTTTCCCGAACTTCCTACAGATGCTCCTTCATTACGTAGTCCCTTTGAATTTTTCGTCTGACGTCACTCAGTAGCGGATGCCTCTCTTTACCTCCAGGTCTGCTATCCATATTTTTCCTCTTCCGTCCAGTCGGCCTCCAACTATCGGACCGGACGGGCTCACTGACGGAGTCGTTCTGCCGCCGCGGAAGTTCCGCTCCTTCCGTCGACGGAGGTCCGCTTCCGTTCGCGGTTTCCGCTTTGTGCTGGCTTCCGTTTTACGTTTTTCGCGCCGTTTTCCGCTCTGTATAAATCCGTCTTCACCTCTCTCGAGGAATGTCTTCAGGAATTCCGCGCGGTCTGTGAGGAAAATACAAACTGCCGTTTCAAAGGTACTGGTGAATTATTCTGGTTGCATCGCGGGGTAACTCGCTCTATCGACAATTTCGGGGCGTCGATTGTGGGAATCTTGTTTATTGGAATAACTCCCCAGATTGCCCGCTAGACGTCATCTTGATAGAACATTGACGCGGCATTGAGCACTCAGACGAAGAACTCGACACGAATTTTATTTCCTCGATGTTCAATATTTAGATCTGCCTGTTTCGATATGAAATCTATGTTGACCAAGGCTTGAACCGTCGGCATCAACATCACATTAACATACTCAACCAATTATCAACATCAAGTCAATATTGATGTCCGGAGTGGATACAGATTAATTGACATTCTCCGATGAAAATGAAAATGGTTTAACGCGAGCCTAAGCCTCAGTTTGAATGGCGTCTTGTAAACCCGTCTGATATGGACTGTACATTCCCCGTCTCTCTGTGTCTGTCTGTCTGTCTGTTTGTCTATCTGTTTCTCTCTCTCTCTCTCTCTCTCTGAATCTGAGGCGCTTGACGTGTATGGAATGACAGCTAGACTCTCAAGTATAATTCTTTTCCTTTATTATGAAGTCAGCCATGACTGGATTTTATCGTCTTGGATTCAACGATGGGTTCATGGCCAGATCGGAAAGGACGGTACGACTTCCGCAGTTCACCTTGAGCAGCAGTCGACTGTGAGACGTGCGTAAGAATGGATTCCGTGACTCCCGAGGACGAGAGACGGGAGATCCCGATCTCGGGCATCGAGACTCGGCACCATCACGAGGCCTATGCAAATGGGGTTATACACTGTATATCGATGATCCATTCCTGCTCTCTCTCTCTCTCTCGCTGTTATCTTGTTCGCGGGAGCGGATACGTAGTACGAAGGATTTTCTCGTGACTCATCGCCGAGCTGTTTCGTAGAACGGACGAGGAAAGAGGGACACACCGGTCTGAGCAGTCCTGCCATCTCCGTTATAAATGATCGATACAGACGTCCACTATGGGGAATCGAGATATCGACGCATCGATTGTGCACTTGTCCGGCGGAATGAAAGAGAAATAGGTCAAGCTCTCTCTTTCGTTTTGGATAGGTACGGTACATTCTTCTCCTCACCCCCGAGTTACCCTTGGAATAATGCATAGAAAAGAAAAGTCATTCTCGTCGACGTGCCTGAATAAAAGGTTAGTTTCCTAGTAACCCGCGACGAAAGGACGTAGGCTTCGGTGGCTTCGGTGCACCGTGCACCATCCAGAGAACACACGTGATACTTCCATTGAAATACAGAGAGATTTCCTGTTAGATAACTGGAATCCTCCTCATCCACTGGCCCACTGCCTTCGTGTATGATCTGCCGCCCCCCTGCTTTGAGAAAGCCCAGAGGCGATGAATACGAATGCGATTAGATAACGTGGAAACTCGCGGACTTCTGTGTCTGCGTCAAGTAGAAGGCTGACGCCTCGGTTCCTGGAAACCCGGATGGCAGCTTGAGATATGCCATACATTATCTACATAATAAGAGTATTTCATATCGCAGTTGTTGAGGTAGAGCAAACTTATCCGGAGCGGAAAGGATTTCCTCGAGTCGGTTGTAACGGCCAACTCGCTGTGGCGAATGATTTCGAAGTTTAGTTTTGAATTGAGCGGTATTTATTAAAAGACACCTGCAAATGAGGATGACACCGAGCAAATTTTCATATCGAAAACAAATAAGAGTAAATACCACTAACTTACTTTGAGTGGCAACATGTATGTTGTGGCAAGTCAAGGTGCTAATCCCCGTTTCGTCCATGTCGTAATCAGTAGATGGATTCAGATTGTAGATAACTAAATAGCGATTGTCAAGAAGGGCATTGAGCTCATTTAAATAAAGGGGGTCCAAGCCTCCTCGTTTGCAAGCTGCAGCACGGTACTTAGGTTTTCGAATCCTCGTGGTCAAGTTCTGACCGTAACTTATACCGTAGGCTTCCTACCCATTTCCAGCGGGCTGCCTCTGATTCGGCACTAAAGGAATTTCGTCAAACGCTAGCTTCTAAAAGGCACATCCGCACAGGATACTCAACAACCACACCAAATTACATTCTTATCAGCGGCTTATATATGTCACACGGTTCTCGAACTCAGGTACACTTCGCAGCGGTGAATTTCACACAATCGGCCAATTCCACGATGCATAAATAAAAATTTACCAACGAGCCCTGATATGAAAACTGAACGCATTTCCACAGAAAAATTTTCTAGTAGACATGCGGAAAAAAAACACCAGAAGAGAAATGGCCTGGCTTCCACAATGAAGATATCACTAAAGCTTTCAATCACAGTTT